AAAAGGCCAGAAGGTAACTGTAACAGAATTTCGCTGAACAAAGTAAATTGACACTGAGACTTTGTTAAGAATATAATGTAACAAGTTAAACAACCTACTTTCATACATGAGTGTTCATATGAATATAGCTTATCAGATACATCAGTGTTCATGTGAACATAGCTCATCAAATTCATTACTTTCATACATCAGAGTTCATGTGAACATAGCTTAACAAATTCATTACTTTCATACATCAGTGTTCATATGTATATAGTTAAACAACATAGTTAACTGTTCATATGCATATAGCTTATAAAATTAATTCCTTTTTAAAGCAATACAAAAGAAACAGAACCTGCACAAGGAAGAAAGCCGATTAGACCAGTCATGGCATTCACAATAGCTTACAAGAACAGTTAAATGAGACTAAAGGAAAGAAACACGCAATAAAACTCGGTTTAAGATATCTCAGGTCACAAGCATACCAACATACTAAAACAACCTATTGCCATTAATCAATGCTGGCTCTCTTAAGGAAAAGCTGTTCATTTTAGTATAACGTATCAAGTTCATGCTTTTTGGAGCAATTCAAAATAAACAGGATATGCAAAAGAACCTATTGTTATTGATCAATACTTCCACCCTTAAGAAATAACTGTTCATTCTTTTTGGAGCAAATACAAAAGAAACATGACTTGCAAAAAGAAGAAAAAAAATCGATAAACCTCAAGCTTAGAGAATACCAATCAGTCAGCCAATCCTTGTCCTTTCGCCTTCTTCACCCATTTCAAACTAGTTTCAAGCGTGGCATACGCAGAAGCATCACTCAAACTTTTGCTAGCAACTGCATAATCAAAAACCTCATAAGCCTCTGCAACCTTCCCACTTCTCACCAGCGCCCTCACAAGCGTAGCATAAGCATAACTCTCAAGCTTCAACCCCTTCGACTTCATCATCTCATAAAACTCAATCCCTTTCTCCATCAACCTCCCCTTGCACAACCCATAAAGCAAAGTATTATAAGTACAATCATTCGGAGCGCACCCTCTCTCTTCCATCTCCTCCAACAAACTCAAAGCACCTAAACTCGCTCCTTTCCTACACATCCCATTCATCAACGCCGTGTACGCAACAGCGTCAGGCTCATACCCTGCCTCATCCATAACCTCCAAATACTTCTTAGCTTCCTCAATCCTCCCTGATTTCGACAACCCGAATATCAAAGTATTGTAACTAATCCGATCCGGCTCAACGCCGTTCTCCTTCATCTTCTTGAAAACACCAACAGCTTCACTCCCTTTGCTCAAAGTACAAAAGCCTTTCATAATAGTGTTGTACACAAAGCAATCAGGCTTAAATCCGTCAACACTGAGATCACTAACTAGCCTCATGGCCTCCCTTAGATTCTTGGAGTTACAGACATGATCAATCAAGATAGTGTAGCTAACAAGATCAGGCTTGACATCAAACAACTTCTTCATCTTATCCCTAAACTCGTAAACAGAATTTAAAGATTCGTATCTGCATAACTGCTTGAGAAGGTAGTTATAAGTGAAGATATCAGGAGGAGAGTGTTTCTCGGAGAGCTCCATGACTAAATCCTTGGCGTCGCTGATTCGATCGGATTCGCAGAGAGATCGCACGGCGATGTCGGTTGTGACGTTGTTAGGGGGGAGGCCGTTGTTGACCATGAGGTTGAGGACGCGGTGGACGTTGGAGAGAGGGGAATCGGGGGATCGGCAGGCGTGGGAGAGGAGGATGTTGAAAGTGGTTGGCTCAGGGGAGAAATCGGGATGGGATTTGAGGATGTGGTGGAAGAGTTTGACGGTGTCGTCGACGGTGGCGATGGAGGCGTAGGATTGGAGGACGGAGTTGTGGAATTTGAGGTCGAGGGGGGTTTTTGAGGTGGCGGCGATTGAGTTGAGGAGGGATTTCGCGGAGGAGAGGTTTGGGGATTTGAATGGGTTTCGAGTGGTTTGGGGAGGAGGTTTTGGGGTGTCTTTTGAGGTGATTCTGTTTCGGGGATTTTGCGGCGGGGGTGGAGATGGAGAGGATGCGGTTGGTTTTTTGATGAGTTGGGTTGAGGTTAGAGAGCGAAACGACGACGGAATCTTCCCCATTTTTAGTTTACGATCGCCGGAAGGTTTTAGGGTTTTTGAAGGGGTTGAGAAGAAGACGAATGGTGGTGGTAGTCAGACACACTCGCGCTCTACTGCGTATTTTTATTATTGGGCCTGTTGGGCTTTTACAGTCGCTTTTTACAATATGTCTATTGTTCTCTGATTTGCTTGCATTTGCATAAATTCAAAAAAATTAACTGTTATGTTTGTTTTGATAGAACCAAAACATTTAAACATGATAGCTCGGAGAAACCTATACATGATGATGATCTACTAAAAGAAAAAAAATAAGGAGGCCCTTCTAGATTTAAGATTAAGAGTCTATGGGTTCACTATACGTGTACATTTCTTCCTCGAACTCTAACTACTCTAGTAGTAACTTTCAGGTTTTGGCGTTGGATTCAGATTAGTTCTAAATGTTCTATATATATAAATATCTGAATTTTTCTGGGTAACATTATGTCCAAGGTTCCGAATCTTTCACTTTGAAATTTTTTGGACCCATTAACCATTAATGTACCAAGAGAGTTTTTGACCAGTTTGTTAGGATCGGTTACGATTCAGATTGTTTGGTTTGGGTGGTCGGCCCAAATTCAGTGTGTATTAGGGTTTGTCTCTTTTCAACACATACTTTTCTTTACTTTTTGCGCAAGTTTGGTGCAAATTCCCTAAAAACAACAATTTCCGGAGGCTAAATGTTGCAGATATTCTCAAAATAACTCAATAATCTTGTCATTTTTCTCAATAAAACCATACAAGGCATTAATTCATTCATTTTCAGACCAGATCAAGCAAGATTAAACAAAAGTGTGACACCCGTCACCTCCTACGTGGAGTACATCGTGTCACCCCCGACGCGTCCTCAAATAACAATGTGACACCCGTCTCCCTCTCTTTAAGGACGACGGGCCACCAACAATATCCAAAAACATAAGCCCCTAAGCCCAATTACTCTCGCCCAAGCCCAAATAAAAATCCGAATAAAAAGCCTTGTAGCATCAAATCCGTCCAAATATCACATTATTGCTTGTCTCACTTGAAATATGAAGAAAGAGGGGTGAGCGACTGGGGAGTCACTCAGTGAGGTATAGGATGCTACCCCGAAGTCCGTGGACCCGGACATAGCACTCCGAATAAATATAGATTAATTCTAATGCATGTCAAACACGGTACCTAAAGTACCCAAACAAACAAGCAATGATCCTAGCGAGGTGCACACTCGCCGCCCACTCTCGGGCCAAAAAAAAACTTCCCACACCGGGGTATAACAACTCGAGATAGTGCTCGGACACCGCCCGTAGACGATTTGTCGACTCTTCCAGGTTACGGTCCAGCCGGCCGACTATAGCTGGCCATAACCGCTCACACAATCCGGCATACAGAAGTCCGTCTCTGCACCCGGCCAAACAATTCTAACTACATGATTTACATTAAGCGAAGCAATCAATGTTGAACCATCTGACACCCTAATCTGGTTTATGCAAAGAATTCTAAACCTAAACAAGCAGACACCAATAAGACCCTAAATTAGACTTAATTCACGAAGACGGAACACATTAGAAATACAATATATTTATTTAAAGTTCTAAGTCACGTACGACTCGTTTGGAAGTAGACCCTCACCTTAGCAACTGGGGGAAAGTGGTATCTATGAACTCCAGCTGCTCAAATAGATCCCAAATCTGAAATCAGATCGAAATTCCGAGTCAGAATGACCTTCGAACGGTCGAAAACGGGCGATTACGGAAAGGTCAACTCGCAGGTCAAAGTCAACCCGGACGACCATAAATCAATTTGACCTAACCAATCGGTTTGACCTTAACCGATTTCGAATCCAATTGAACCAAACCTAATCGATTTCAATCTGGTTTACTCCTAACCAAAATTCAATTGATTTTAACCATCGGTTTACCTTAACCAAATCGCAATTCAATTGAACTGGTCAAACCACCGGTTTACCGAGTCAACCGAGTTGACTCGTTGGGTTGACCCGGACGAGTTGACCGAGTCACCGGCGACGGTCACCGGTGGCGACGATGGTCCGGCGGCGGAGACACGGCAATCCAGCGGCGGCGGAGACACGGCGGTCTGGCGGCGGAGACACGGCGGCGGCGCGTGCACTCCACGCGCTCAGACGGCGAAACTTTGACGGGCGCGTGCGGCTTCGTCTGAGGTCGGATCGAGGCGTTTTTGGTGTCTATGGCTTCGTCTCGACGAGTAGAACACGTTGGTGGCCTTGCATGCACGAGATTCTCAACGGTTCAGAAGTTATCGACGATTTACTAAACGGACAAAACAAAGCTCCATCCATGGTGGTTTCTGGTGATTCTCAGCTGCGGTGAACGGTGGGGACGAGGTCGGCGTTATCATGACGTGTGGTGGTCGTGGTGAGCTCCGGCGGTGGTTCAGCCTGTCCACAAAGCTTCTTCATTCTCTCTTTTCTCTCTCTCTCTTTCTGTCCCTCTTTCTCTCTCATTTTCTTTTGATTGCAGAAAAAAATAAAATACTGGAGAGAGATGGTGGGCTGAGATTAATAAACAAAATGCTTTGGGCTTTCGGGAATTGACATGGGCCTTGATGGGCCGGAGGTAGGTTGTTACAAAAAGGTTTTGTAATATTGAATAGCAAATCTTGTCTGAATCCGAAGTTCTGAAAAAGAAACACGGTCAAGGAGCTTGGTGATGGATCACCTCACAAAAATTATTATGTTTCAACCTTCTCATTTCGCCAATTGTTTCCATTTTTCAATTAGAAATTTGGAGCTACATGTTTTGTTGATTATGTAATATACACAATGCAGAACTGATTCATCATAAGAAAACTTCTATGACAAAAAGTTGTCAAATGCTCAAAGCTAGTTTCTTTCTTAGGATGACAATAGACGCAAGAAAAAAGAAATCAAGAAAAGGTGAAACAGAGCCATTTCTTAACCGCTGGTTTATCACCGTCTTGTTTCCTCTGAGAATTCGTTTTCGTCGAACTCCTTCCTGTCTTCTTATCTTCACCGGCTTTGCTGAATATCACCGTGTATCCATCCGCGGTTGCCGGATCATTCACATCCCAATCCCCAAATTTGGGCAACGGCCTTCCAGCGTCGTTTGATGCCATTTTCGATCAAGAAATTAATCTCTCAGACAAAAACAAAACAAAACAAAATATTTTCTTCTTTCTTTTTGTATGAATTGATGATATTGTTTTGAGGGTCTGGCCCACGATGCAGATTTATAATGGAGAAACTGGATAAAAAGAAAGAAGAAAACAGATGTTTATGATTGTCTTTGAAATCTTCCAGACGCGGTAGAATATTCTATTGCCAATTCTTGTTTTAAAATCTTTCTGAGGTATATAATCGTTTGCCTTTCCGCGTAAGAAATCTAATTATAGCAAAACCATATCCATGGCTGATCTGTTTCTTCATTTTCACGCGGTAGTTTATAGTTCTCTGATCTTTTCTTTTCTTTATATATATGCACACCAGAAACTCACCAATTGAGAAAAAGCTGATCAGCACATTTTCATACATCTGCTTTAGTAGTCATCCGATAAGAGTGACATTAGACCCAACCTTATCAGCTACTAAACCGGGCAAGGAAGTGCTAGATCATAGCTGCAAATTCCTGCAACACAAGTCTAAGAGAAAATATAAAGTCAAAAACAATTTTAGGACGTACACAAAGCACATGAATATGATTCATTAGCCCAAACTCAATCACTGAAATGAGACATGAATATGATCATTATATAGTCATATTCCAGATTTTGAAATTAGGGGTTTTATTTAGTGAAGAAGAGATAAACTCAGAATGGTCCCACATAGGTAAGTTAGTTTAATAAAGAGGAAAGAAACTGAGAGTTGTCCCACATCGGCAAGTTGGAAAAGTGAGGGAATGATTAGTTGATTATAAAAGGATTAGGGTTGGGGTTGGAGGAAAAACATGATCCTTCAGGCAAGTTAAAGGAGAGATGAGGAGTGGTGATTAACCTGCTTATCTATGCGGGAAGAACGTTTCTCAGAATGTAATATTTGTATACTTCTATTGTCTCTATTTCATTACTATTAAATTTTAGATTTTATGTAAAAAACAAAAACATGATTTCCTATTTATTTATATATATATATATATATATATATATTTATTTATTTATTTATGACACTGTGATAACGGAATCTCAAAACGGGATCGTCAATTTCCTACGTGTTTTTAAATAAGATATTATAGAAGCGTTTCGGAAGCCAGATTCTCAGTAAGTTTTCACAAGATTAGGTTTCTGAAGCGAGAAGCAGACATTCGATAAAGCTTCCGTGCAACCAAGATTCACAGCTGTGTTAATTACTATTAGTTTTTGACCCGTACAACCGTGAGAGTTTTCTGAATACTAAAATATTTTAGGTTATACAATAAAATTTATCAATATATTAATATAATTTAATGTTATATATTAGCTAACTTTATAATAATGTTTGTGTGGTTTATAATATTATTACTATAAAATTTATGAATTTGTATTTTGTAACAATTAAAAAACATTATTATGTAACAATACTAATTTACATATATTTTGTTTTATTTCTAAATTTTAAATATATATGTCAAAATTAGATCAAGTTGGACCTACATAATAGAGAAGCAAAATTTTGGGATAATGTAAACACTATTTTACATAATTTTTTATTTTTGTTTAAAAATCACAAATAAAGTAAAATTTTAATTATATTTTATGATTATTAAAAATTTAATTAACTAATTTTCGAAAATATCTTTAAAAAGGGTTTTAAAAATAATTTTTTAGAATTTTCATAAATATTTTTTTTTGTATTTGAAATAATGATTAAGATATGTAAAGATACTATAATTATGTTATCTAAATTTAATAAACTTTCTAATGATGGTCCGAATTAGAAATTCACACATTAAAGAAGTCATGATTTATATTTTAATAGTATAAATATATGTGTATATTTAGCATAGTTAAAATAAACTAACAACTAATGAAATTTTCATTATTTTGAGTTCTTAGACTTATTTTCCAAGGCTTTTTCCCAACTTTTTGATGGAATTTTTATTTCGTGTGTACACTGATATAGTATCAAAATTAGATTAAGATCCGCACCTTGCGCAGAATGAATCTTGTATATACATACAATATGATGTAGTATTATTTATTTAATCTTTTTACTTTATATTAAATTAATAAGAGGTTAGTGACTATTACATATATATAGCTAAATTGGTGCGGAGATATACATAAATAAATTCAAATAATAAGTTTTATCTTTTATATTGTTTATAATTAAAACTAATGATATGAATATTAATGTATAGTATATTTTCTTAATATGACTATTTATTATATAAAATTTTCTATTCACGTGGTTTTATGATTATTTGTATTTATTGAAACATTGATAACAAAATTTTAATGAACTTTTAATATTTTTATTAATCTATAATCATTTTAGAAAATCCAATGAAAATTTTGAAACTAAAATATTTTTTATTTTTATATATAAAAATTTAATTTAAAACATATTTATATATATTTATTTAATCTAATATTTATTAAAAATATATCTTACTCATCTAATTTTATGAACATTTGTATCTTGTATAAATTAAAACTAGATTTTTATCTGCGCTTGAGAAGCGCGGACTTTATTTTGGTTATAACAAAATGTATCAAATGACTCAAGTTCTATTATATGATAGTTTTATATATGAAATTTGATGTATATTTAACCTTTTAGTAGAGTCTTTTTATTGAGTTTTGCATAACCGAGTAAGTTTGTGGGTGAACCGAGAATAAAAAAATTAAGTGTTGTGAGAGTATGAAGAATTAAAACACATATTAGATTGAAACCAAAATTGGATGGGTTAATGGCCCATAGTAAATTTGAAAAATCAATACTATTGCAAATGCCCAAAATTGTATTACAAATTTGTAGTTAAATCGAATAAATATGTTAATCGAATTATATAGATTATTTATGTTAGTTAAAATAATTACATCTATTATTTTTGAACAATAACAATAATATTCATATTTCACTAAGTTATAAAATAATAACATCTATGATTCAAAATAATATAGTTTTAAAAATAGAAAAAAATTCTGAAGATCACAAGCTCCAACATGTAAAATAATACTATAAAATCATGTAAAATCGAAATCATTAAAAATATTATATAAACAAATTATTTATCTCATAGATTAAGCTATCATAGATACTTTCAAAAGGGATTGATTAAGCTATCATAATATTATATTTGATTTTTGCATGTCGCAAAGAATTCAAAAAGATAAATGATTGTTTGACATTGATAAACTCAATATTTATCTAAAAGTCTGGATAACATGACCAAAATGTCAAATAATTAGGTTTTGGAAAGAATATCTTTTAACCAATTTTATAAAAGAATCGTTTTGGAAGAAGAGATAAATGTCAATCATATCACAAGTACATATCAGAATTGTCAAAACAAAATCACATACGAAATGTATATCTAAAAATCTTGATAACATGACCAAAATGTCAAATCATTAGGTCTTAGAAAGAACATCTTTGAACCAACTTTATAAAAAAAATTGTTTTGGAAAAAGATATCTGTCAATCATATCACAAGTACATTTCATAATTGTCAGAACAAAATCATAACAAACATAGATTCTAAAAATAATATTAATAAATAAGAAAAATATAAATTTTAAAAATCGAATAGTTGTTTAATTAAGAGAAAAGATATACTCAATATCTAATCAATAAATTTCTAAAAAACAGCAGAATATGTACTATTAAACCTAATAATACTAAACATAAATAAACAATTATTTTTAAACAAACATAATCCTAAAACGCCTAAAATATGAGTAAATCAAGAAATAAATAAACAAATAAGAGTAGATACTAAACATATACTATTAGAAATATTAAGCATTAACTAAAAAGTTTTCAAATATAACAAAACTGATTGTAAACAACCGGTGCATATGGTTCAAAAAAAAGAAAATGGATTAAACATAATCATAAAAACTTAAGATTAAGATTGAGATTGGTTAGATGTTCAGTCATACATCATTACCTCACCCAACTTGAACCAATCGATGATAGGGACCTTAACATCTTCAAGCTTGGATTCGGCAAGGACCAGCTCAAACTCTATCTTCTTCTTCTCATGGTACATTGAAAAGAGACCTTCGCATTCTTCAAGAAACTCCAGTTTCGCAGCAATGCGAACCTTATTGAGCTCCTCCTGATGCCTTGCTTCACCGGCTTTGTTTTGATCACGGTACATCAACAACATAGCCCGATAACGCTGCATGGTCTCGAACCTGCCCCTCTTGTAAGCCTCCTTCAACGTTTCCCCTTCATACTCGTTCATCTAAGCTTTCATCTTTAGCTCCTTGTTACCTGCCATTGAGATACTTCTCAATGTTCAAGAAGCAAATATAAGTTTTAGGAAACAAATGTAACAAATATGGAAATATAATAAACCTTAAATATTTATTATGTAGATGTAAGATCTAACATAAATTCACATAAAATATATATTAACCCCAAAATATCTTCTATAGTTAGATCATCTAAATTTAACACGATTTATAAAATATTCAGAGAATCGAAAATAAAACACTAACTGAAAATCTAACCCTAGCATGATTTTATTCAATAAAACATGAGCAAAGAACCTAGCGACAGTTTACTCCAACCATAGATCCTAAATAGACTAAGCAAGAACGGATCTAACAACAGAACAACATGCTAGGGAGATGAAGATATATTATCGATTGTCTAAAAAGAAAGAAAATACCATTTTCCGAAGAGAGAAAGGAAGATGAAGAGATATTATGGTAATTGTAGTCAATCGATAGAGGTTTTCTCTCTTATATAGATAAGAACTAAACCTATACATTAGTGGGTCTAAAGGCTTAACATAATTAGGTAAGATTTCTAATAGCTTAAAAGGTATTCGAAATTATGGAGCGCAATATAATTTTGGGGCTTTTATTAAAAAATAAAAATTTGCATCTATTTTTCAGAATGCATTAGATAAAAATTAATATGATTCGATTAAATACATAATTCTGTTCATTATGTGATTTTCTGTAGG